TCTCCCCCCACCTCGTTCACTCTCTCACCATCTCCCCCCACCTCGTTCACTCTCTCACCATCTTCCCATCTTGATCACTCTCTCTCCGTTCCCCCACCCTGTTTACTCTCTTCATCACTCTCATAATCCCTCCCTCCAGCCGTACCTCCATTACCTCCTTCCTCTCTCCTTCCCTCCGTTCCCCCCTTGGATTGTATTACCTTCCCTCCCTCTGTCTCCAAAGTGACCCCCTCCCTCTATCACCTCCTCCATTACTTGCTCTTTTGCTCTCACTTTCTCTTCCTCCACCCCCCCACTTTGGTTCCCTCTCCCCAACCCATTCCTGTTCACTGAAGTCTCTCTGACCGCGGCCTCTCCGAGACTCATCACTCTCCCTCCTCAAACTCTCACCCATGATCTCTCTTCATCCTGGTAACTCCCAGGTGTCCCTGAGACTGGTCACTCTGCCCCCACACTCTGTCACTCTCTGTCCGGTCAGGTACTCTCGCTCCCTGGTCAGTTGGTCACTCTCTTCCCCAACCAGCTATTCTCCCCCCATCGGTCACTCTCCCAACCAGGTCAGACGGTCATTCCGCCCTGGTCACTCACTGGGCCCAGACAACTTACCGATCTGGCCATAGGCGATGCTAATTAACCTCTCGTTGACCAATTTGTCCATTCGCGGGTTTCGGGGCTGACGCTTCATGATGTCACTCTCTGCCACTTCATAAGCCAATGAGATAGCTGGGACCTGAAAGAAAAGTCACATGACCAGCAAGGGCCGTCACTGATTGGCCCACTGATGCTGCTGTGATGCTCTGACTCGGCGATATCCGCCCAGCAACATCGAGTCATAGAGACTGACATCACAGAGAAGAGCCCTTCGGCCCATCATGTCCTATCTGGTCAAAAACAGCCCTGAAACTATTCCAATCCCACGCCTTGGCATCACAAGTGCATATCTAAATCCTTCTTCAATGTGATGGAGGGTTTCTGCCTCTCCCTCTGACAGGCAGGGAGTTCCAGATTCCCCACCACCCTCTGGGTGAAAACATTTTTCCTCAGATCCCCCTCTAAACCTCCTGCTCCTTACCCTCAATCTATGCATCACCCTCCATCATTGATCCCTTCAAAAAAAGGGAAATGTTTCTTCCTGTCTACCCTATCTATGCCACTCATCATTTTATACATCTCAATCATGTCCCCCCTCTCAATCTCCTCTGCTCTAAGGAAAACATCCCCAGTCTGTCCAATCTCTCTCCATCACTGAAACTCTCCAGTCCCTAAGGCAACATCCTGGTAAATCTCCCTCTGCTCCCTGTCCCAGTGCCAGTCTGAGACATGAAGACAGTTCGCCAAGGGGGACCCTGCAGTCACCAGCCAACCGCACCCTCCCCACTGGAACATTGCCAACAAATTCTCAGGTGGGCACTCAGCAGGATCCCAGAACTAGCTGCCACATCACAACTGCACTAGCCATTGTTTCAAGGTGGAGTGGTGCGAGTTCAGTAATAATTACTGACCCAGACCCTTCTCACTCGCCAATTACAAAACAGCAGACATTACACACAACTGAGCACTGACCCTCTGACAGTGCGGCGCTCCCTCAGTACTGATCCTCTGACAGTGCGGCACTCCCTCAGTACTGACCCTCCGACAGTGCGGCACTCCCTCAGCACTGAACCCACTGCGGATGCTTCTATACTCACCATGTCCGTTCCCAGGTCGATGCAGAGGATGGTGATGGTTCCAAGGGGGAGGGGGATATTGGCCATGATAAACAGCAGGAATGGTGTGATCTCCGGGATGTTGCTGGTCAGTGTGTACGCAATCGACTTCTTCAGGTTATCAAAGATCAGACGGCCTGGGGATAGGCAGCGGTTTGATCATCAGGGAACAGAAACAGACACACAGCACAAACTGACAGGGAACAGTCAATACGGCACTGCCTCTCAGAGAAAGGGGTGGGGTGTGGAAACTGTGTGTGTGTGTGAGAGAGTCTGTGTGTGAGAGTGTGTGTGTGAGAGTGTGTGCGCACATGCGTGAGTGTGTGCGCGCGTGCGAGAGACTGTGTGTGCGCGCGTGTGTGTGCATGTGCGTGAGAGAGAGAGAGAGAGACAGAGTGTGACAGTGAGGGAGAGGGAGCGGGAGAGAGAGAGAGACAGAGATAGAGCAAGAGAGACAGTGAGTGTCAGAGAGAGAGAGAGAGAGAGAGACACACAGAAGCGGAGGGGAGAGAGGGGGGCGGAAGAGAGATAGAGAGAGAGAGTGCGAGAGACAGAGACACACACACACATACTGCACTGAGACAGATAGACACAGATGCTACAAGACAGACCCACGGTCTGGGCACTGCCCACATACCTTCCTCCACTCCAGTGACGATGGATGCGAAGTTATCATCGAGCAAGATCATGTCTGCCGCTTGCTTTGACACGTCTGAGCCGGCTATTCCCATCGCCACTCCAATATCAGCTTTCTTCAGAGCTGGTGAGTCATTAACTCCATCACCAGTCACAGCAACAATAGCACCCTATGGGAGACACAGAGAGAGTGGGGGAGACCATCAGAGAGGGAGCTGGGCAATGGGACACCCTGAGAGAGAGAGTGGGAGAGACCAGAGACAGCTGGGCAATGAGGTAGCCTGGGGACACAGAGAGAGTGGGACAGAGACCGAGAGGGAGCTGGGAAGATACAGAGACAAATGGATGTGGGGGGAGGGGAAGACAGTGGGAGAAGGAGCTGGGCAATGGGACATCCT